TTAATTTCTCAGCCTTTTTCATGTTATATCTGCACAAAACGGAGGCTACTCCCTTTTAAACACGAGCCCTAGGTTCTCTTAACCCAAACCGAACAATTAAAATTAAACCAGCCGGCTCGAAATTAACTAGAGTCGATCGACACCCTCTAAATTTTTTCCAAATTTCGATTATTCTTAATCAACTTGGTTCGCGAGCGTTACATTTAGCCTTTGTGCGACAGTGGATTTGATAAACATTTTCCGCTGTCGAGCTTCGAGTTTTATTATTTTATTTTTGTTAGATAAACGTTGGTGTTAAGCTTTTTATTCTAGCATTAGGTTTTAAACAACGTTGGTGTTAAACGTTGGTGTTGATCTCTTGTCTTGTGAGGGTACAACTTATACTTTTTATTAAATAAAGAAATATTTTCTTTAAACCCTGGTTACGACAGAGCAAAAGAGCTCTCAACGAAGCAAGAAGGCTTTGGTCCTTGGGTATTCGAAGATTAAACAACCTGAAGCAGTTCTCCCTCCTAGTAATAAACATGTCGCTGAAAACAAAGCACAATCATTATTATCCTTGCCTATGCGAGTTTTTGAGGCAGAGTTGTGCGACATAGAATTTAGGGTTTCGGGTGAATGAGGAGCGGCGGTGCTTGGTTTGGAAAATGGATCGACGGCGAGCAGACTAGGGGGTTGGCCGTCGGGGCTCTCTCGGCAAGGGAGAGGGTTTAATCGGCGTTTCTTTGTCGATAAATCCAGAGAGTAGCTGGGGAGAGTAACCCGGCAAGGAGGCAAAGAGCAAGAGGAGAGCCTGAGAAGGTCTCGTGCCGGAGCAAACGCTTTGACCGAAACAGGCATCATCCGGTCTCGGGGAGGGAAGGGATCTTGCCGTCAACGGAGCATGATTTGAAGCCGTCGACGAGGATGAGGGCGAGGTAGCGGTGATGCAACGGATGACGAAACAGTGGTGGTGATAGCACAGAAGCAGAGAAGACTCTGTGAATCGTCGCGAAGTGTCCGGCGGATCCGGCGGGTCTGGTGGCTCCGGCGGCGCCGAAGGGTTCAGAGTCGCCGGGACAGCCATCCACCGACGGTAAGCGAGCTTGAGCAGATCTGATTTGATTGTCACCGCGGAGGAAGGAGGCGGGGAGACAAGCATCAGAGGGATCTCGCGGTCGCGTCGTCGATGCAGGTTCCGATCAAGAGAAACAAGCTTCAACCTTGCCGGAGATACACCGGAGGAGGAAGTTCATGTTGGAGATGCGGTACCTTTGGGACTGTGCCTGGGAGAGAAATTCGTATCTTAATCCTCTTTTGAAATCTCTCTTTAGATGGGATGATTTAGGCGCCCACGAATT